AATCAGGAGGAGACAGCCACGGACATTGCCGTTGGAAAGCGCTGGAGACGCTGTAGTACATATGCCAGGCCTGTAGATGGTGTTGTTCTCACAGAATCAGCCCATGAAAAGACAGTGTTAAATTGAGCGAAATGAGGAATGGCTAAAATGCATGATCTGTTTGGTATTTTGAAAAATAAAAAGTATAAATATGCCTGATATAGGTATGGTCCTACACTATATTATTCAAATATAGCATGATAGGTCCACTTTAAAATAAGTGTCTACTTTAAAAATAGATATACCGAGTTATACAATTATAAAAATAGATATATTATATCTTGTATCCATCTTAAAACAGTGTTCACAATCTTCAACAACACTGTTATAAACCCAGACAGAAATTATGAATAACTATAAAATACGATTTTCAATATACGCAGCGCTCAATTTATCATTATAAACAGACCAGATGGACCTCATGTCATTTTTCAGGATCTCATGTCATAATTACAGTTTAAATCACCTGTTAGCATCTGACGGTGCTCATTCATTTCACAAACATTCAGAGTGATGTCTGCTGTCTACCTCAGTTACCGCTTTCATTTAGAGGGAAATGTAGTCAGAGGAGCAGGAGTTGACAACGTCTCCTTTACCAGAACTTCAATGACCAGACTGCTATAGACTCATGAATGTAGTGATGGTAGTGCGTGTTCGTACTTCTTCCTCCACAGACTGGAACTCCTTGTCGTCCGTTGCCAGGTCGATGAGCACGGTGCCCTGGCTGGAGCAGTGGAACGTCAGGTACGGGTTTGCACCTAAAATACACATTTAAAAAAGGGGTATTCAGACCACATGAAGGGTAAAAGATAAAACCATAAAAAAGAAAAATCATTTACAACAGCTATACTTCCATAAATAACAAAAAGAGAGTGATGTATCGATGAAAAAATACAATCTGGGGTGTTTCTGTGCTGATCTGAGGCATGTTCACAATTGATCAGGAGAAGTGGCCTGAATATGTAGATGGAATTCATGTATTTGGTTAGTCACTATGTCACTATTGGTGATGATGAACGTGTGTGTATGTGTCACTGGGTAAATGATATCATCTGGGGGTACCTGTTAATCCCAATGTGAAAAGTAATTGAGCCTTCATTTCTGTTGACTGCAATTCAACCGTTAGTCTATATTTTGGTTTTGCTACAACAAAAGTATCATGTACGCAATTTCCATGTGCAATGAATGGAAAGGTGTGCAACTACGAACTATTGCTTTTGTTAGAAAACGCAGTCAGACAGACCTCCTTGCATTAGCCAATTGGATTTCCAGCGTTGTCTATTTTTATTTCAAAACAGTGAATCTGATAAAGGAACAGATGATGTGTGTGTGTGTGTGTGTGTGTGTGTGTGTGTGTGTGTGTGTGTGTGTGTGTGTGTGTGTGTGTGTGTTTCCTGACCTTGCTGGCCTCCCAGCAGCCTCTCGATGCCCTTGATGAGTTTGTGTCTGTGACCGTAAGCGTTGATGCCAATCTCCTTCAGCTCCTCGTGACCCATGTCTGCCAGCACGTCCAGCGAAATCTGCCCGGAAACAACACACACCTCAGTCAGTCCGGCTTCTGGTTGTCTTTTGTCAAAAGACTGTAAATTGAAAGTAAGAAAAACATTTCATAATCATAGTGTCAAATAACTATTCAAACCATATTTCTGTTTATACATCTGTCAACTCAAATCAAATGTTTGTCACAATGGCTTTAACTGATCAGTGAGATTGCCAACAATACAGAACGTTTAAGGAGCTAAGACATATCAGAGAGACAATGGGCCATCAAGCATGGATGAATATTCATGAGAGAAAGATAGAAGCAGCATGAAGAAAAGGTCAGTGAATGAACGGCAGTAATCAAACCATTGAAATGCAAATGGCGACGGTGAAGTCTTGTAAGTATTTTTGAGGCGCTTTTAAACGCTGACCTTTACCTACGTTCCTCTGTAATAGCTGTGTTTCATCATAGCTTAAATACTGATGGGAGTTTACTGAGACTTAACAGAAACTTGGAATTGTTCTGTTTTTCCTCAGTAAACTGATGACAAAAACCTCACTTTCATTTTTAGAAATCACAGCCAAGAGATGAAACCTTTACGGGGCTGTAACCACTCACACCAATTTGAGTTCATCACCTCAAACAACAGAAAGTGAAACCTCCGCCTGGATCTCATTACTAGCTGACACTTAAAGCTGCCATCTCACACTTTCAACACAAAGGGGAAAAAGCAGCATCAGCACAAACTGCCACCAAGAATCTCCAGCTAAATAACTTCTCATATGTACGTAGTTAGAATCGCTTCGTCTTGAAACATGACTACGTTCTTTTTGCACGAAGGGGCTACAACTAGACTGTAATAAGAGAATCACTTTGTGTTGACAAGTGCCCTTTCCACAACAACAGAGAATCAGCCTTGGGGCTTTACACAGGGAACAGATGCAAGAGCAGAACCTTTTGAACCATTACAGCTTAATGTTTCTGGGTTTCCAAAGTGAAGTTTGATCATTGAAAGCATATTGAAGTTAAATCTCTTGATGCTTTGTAAACTCTTCCGTATGAATCTGAGTTCTTGTTACGGCTGCTCAATTAATCGTATTTTAATCGCGATTACGATTATGGCTTGCAACGATTAAGAAAACAATGTAATCGAAATAAAACGATTATTTTTTTATTATTACTTTATTTATTTTTTTTAATATATATATCTTTTTTTTCAGTTGAATTAAACTTAAAGTTCAGGGTAATCAACTGTTAAAAACATTGTTCAACATTTTTTTCTCCAATAAATGGATGTTTTCAAAGTCAATGAATAATCACATTAATGATCGCATTTACAATTATTGACCCAAATAATCGAGATTATGATTTTTGCCATAATCGAGCAGCCCTAGTTCTTGTTATTGGTGAGATTAAAAGGGTTTCCGTTAACACCGAGCCAGCTGTCACCTCCATCTCACTCCTCTCATCTGGATATTCATGATGATGTGTTTTCCTTTATGAACACAAGCACACATCCTACCTATGGCTTATCCAAGTCCTTCTTTGTGAAGCCTTTTGATCTCCGTCACATTTCAGTGTTACTTTCTATATGTGTCTGTTTTCTTTCTTTCTGTCTGTTTTCTTCATATTTCTCCTCAAGCCTCTCTTCCTCTTTCTTGTTCTCTCCCTCCATCCATCTGTATCCTTCTTCTGTCTCTGTTGCTCCTCTGACATCCCCACTCACAATTTTGACACAATTGACAGCTGAGTCCGATGGGATTATAATTTAGTTTGCAAGTATTTAGCTATTAAGCCATACTAATCCATTAAAATGAAACAATTGAAATGTCGATGGCCCTAGATAGAATATAAAAAAGTAAACCAAAGTGATTACAGTTCATCCTAAGGGGAACATGGATGTCTGAAACCGTTTTCATGGCAACCCATCTGCTGTTGAGATAACTCAGTCTGGACCAAAGTGGTGGATTGACAAAACCAAAGGAAGGGCCAAAGGAAAGAAAACTGAGAAATGAGTTCAAACCAAGACCGAATAAGTATGTAACCCTGAAGCGAATGAACTACGAGAATACAAAGTGTTTCCATTATAAAAATACTTTGCTTGCAATCTCTCCTTGTAACTCTTTCCAACTTTCATCCTCTCCCGTTGTTCACACCTTGTGCTGTTCCCTCTCACTTTGATTTCCCCCTAAACACTTAAAAGGACGTACCTGTTCCCGCTGGAAGGTTTCTCTGAGGTGTTCCAGCCCGAGGCTCTTCAGGAACTGGTTGATGGTCATATCGAGCAGAGCTGCAGAAACACATCAGCGTGGTTATCAGCTGTGACACAGTATTGTAGTAAATGTATCATTAAGTCTCATTTAAGTGTTTAACTTCCTTCTCTGGTTTGATTTTCCTGCAGTTTGAATTCACATCCAGCTACTAATTCTCACTTCTTTTCGACCATTGTTAGGATTGACATTAGGTTTGTAATTACCATGTATGCAAGTTTCAACCGTTTCAACACTTCCTGTAATGTACATTGCCTTTCTGAGACTTTCCCTTTGTTTTGAGTGTATTTTCTGTTGTATGTTGTCAGATCTAGTACTAACTTGCTGGTGTTAGACTCTGTCCTTTCAGCTGAAATAGATTCACTTTTTTGACTTTATTAAATAACAAAACTTTGCTTTAAACTTCTATTATTTGGCCATTTCTTAACAAACGCTTTGACTTTTTTGACTTTATTAAATAACAAAACTTTGTTTTAAACTTCTATTATTCGGTCATTTCTTAACCAACAGGTTGTTTTTGTGTCTAATTTCCTCAACACACAGGTTGACTCAAAAGCAGTTCTCATTTAAAAAGAACTAAACTTTGATACAAGATGAAACTGTACATACTTTCTCCTTCCTTCCTGTCCGACCCAGACGCTCCATCAGCTGGTCCGGTGGCCCCGCCCACAGTGAGGTCACTGAGGGACGTGGTCAGGTTGTCGAGGCTGCTGGCAGCAGACAGGCAGGAGGGGGATGGAGACGGAGAAACGCCCCCTGCCGCACCTGCACCCCCCACACTAGCACTCACCTGAGAGAGGGAGAGGAGATTTGGTTAAATGGAACAATGGGTCAAATTGAATCACTAAACTCCTGTACTGACTGACTGACAGTTTACAACTCTTTACAGTGCAATCTCTACCAGCTGCTTTCATTGTTTATATACATATATTTAGATTTTCTATAATTAAGTCATTTTTCATGCTACTGTAAAATGGCTAAAAACTCTTTATTAAGCCTCTTACACAAATGAATACATCTAGAATACAATTAAAATAGCCATAGATGCACCTTTAGCTTTCAATTGAAAATATAATGTTTAATGCATTCAGTTGTTTTAAGCGTCAACACTTCTTACATTAATACAATGTTAATTCTCACACTTGCTTCAGCTTATTATAATAATGAGCGATTTAGCATAATTTCCACATATGTTAGCAGTTTTTTCTTACAGCTAACACATAATATGGCCACTACAAGATTATGTTTCATCGAATAGCCCTTTGTCTGTACTTTGTGTCCACACTCACCACAGTGGCCTGGGGCTTCAAACAGCTGGGCAGGGCATCGGGAGGCATGGCGTCAATCAACAACGCTCTGATGTCATCAGCCTGCGACAGACAAAGAGACAACAAAATTGTTAATAAACTCTATGCAGCTAAAACAAAGTATTTACTTCAATTTTAATATAATATAATGTTTTTGTATGAACTGACAATAATGTGTAGCAAATATCTATCCTCCTAAAGTCTGCTGGTCACCCGGATGTCATGAATTGAGCAAGAGTGGGCTTTCTAATGATCTTCACTTCATATGTGGAGGAATTTCTCACTGCCAAGTTGCATGTGTTTGGATTGTTTATTAGTGCCTTGAGATAACTGCCAAGAAGAGCAACACAACGCCTCATCAAATTAACACGCACTACGTGAATAGTGGGGGAACATGCCTGATTTAAAAACTGACCTGCTGTTAATTTCAAATCAAATGGCCTATTGTCAGCTCTTCAGTTAAATGCACTTTGAAGGAGCAGTTGGAATATTCCAGCTGTCCTTCAAAGTGAGGTTCAGTTTGACAGTCTATAAATGATCAGACTGTTCAGCACACTGCTACTTCTGTGTTAAACAACATGGCTTGTTATTTATAGTCAACAATAAAACGCTACAAGCATGTTCTGTCCTCTAATCTGTAGATGCATTGTGATAATATTAGCAGCATCACAAGTCGATCCTTCTGTAGACATCAGCAGGAGGGATGTGTTATTCCCTAGGGAACACCGGCAAACTATGGTACCTACAGGCAAGGAACCTTATTAGGAGGCTTATTAGGAAGCCTCATTAGGGAGCTAGAAGTTTTGACGCTACCTGTCCCACCCTTAAAACCCTTCTGTCTGATTAGTTTCTCACAACCAGTCAAACATCAGTTCTGCTAATGATATCGCCGTTGGCTGGCTCATAACAGGAATCAGGCGCCTAATATGGAGAACTGAGGGCGGATTCTGGGTATGATTTCTTCTGAAAGCCTCTCATACCGTTGCTAAGTCGAGCGGCGTCTGCACCTCCTGGTTCTTCATGGTGGGGTCGGCTCCATGGGCCAGCAGCAGAGCGCAGAGCTGCGTCCGCCCCTTCTGCGCCGCCTCATGGAGGGGAGTGAACGCCCACTTGTCTGTGGCGTTGACGCAGGTGTTGAACTTGATCAGCAGGGCGGCGATATCCACGTGCTAGACAGAGGGGAGGAAGTAGAGGGGAGGAAGTAGAGGGGAGGAGGTAGAGGGGAGGAGGTAGAGGGGAGGAAGTAGAGGGGAGGAGGTAGAGGGGAGGAAGTAGAGGGGAGGAGGTAGAGGGGAGGAGGTAGAGGGGAGGAAGGAGGAAAAGAGATTAGATAATGAGAGCAGATAACAAATTTTTTACCTCTGGAGAAAATGACATTGGAAAAATATAATCGTGGACATATCTTTCAAGCTCTGTGGTTGCCATTGTTTTCATATTTGGAAAATAATTATTATTTTTTTTTCCGTTTTATGTTTATTTTCATTTTCATGGCTCTGTTGTTTGAGTTATATTGAGAAGCATTTTA